TGTTCAGAATGGTTTGATCCCGATCCAGCTGAATTCCTGAGAGGAGACGAAATCCAGGTCTCCTACTCCTCCGCCATCTTGCTCCGCCCCCCCAGAGTGAGTTTTGAAAGCGGCCCAACTTGCAAGCACAGCCCAGTGCCCCGGGCACCCTTGACAAGCAGATTTGAGAAGCAGCGGACAAAGAGCGGAGGGAGGTGAAGGTGTGCAAAGCCACGCTACTCACAGTAGCTAAAGCTGGGAAGGAGCCGCGTGTCCATGAGGGGATGAATGGATAAGCAAAATATGGCCTAGCCACGCAATGGCATATTATTCAGCCATAAAAAGGAAGGAGATTCTGACGAAAGGCACCACTCTGATGGACCTTGAAAACATCATGCTAAGTGAAAGAAGCCAGATGCGAAAGGAACAGCTATTGTAGAATTCCACCCATAGGAAGCATCTACCAGAGGCAAATTCATAGTTTTGGGAAGTGCATGCCAGGTTTCCAGGGGCTGGTGGGAGGGGGAAATGGGGAGTTGGACCTAGTGGGTCTAAGAGCTTCTGTTTGAGGTGATGAAAAATGTTGGAAACAGTGATGGTTGTACAACATCATGAATGCAATCAGTGTCTGAATCGTACACTTAAAAATGGCTAAAATGGCAAGATTTGGGTATTTTTTTAATCAAAAATTTTATTTTACCACCATAAGAAATGGTTTAAAAAACAAAACACGGAGGGGGAGTCCATCAGGGTAGCCCTGCAATGTCTGGGGAAGGAGATGGAAACAGAGTGGTGGTCCCTGTCTCCCTTTTCCTCCTGGAAGATTATAGTGTGGCGTTTACAAACAGCCTCTTGGCTGAAATGTGAGTGGAGGAGCTGGATTCGGTTGCACCTACGCTCTCCTGGTCCCCATGGTGCCCCAGCCGCCAGCCCACTGCCCGGCGTGTTCTCTGATTGCTGGTCTTCCTGCCCCCGACCCCGAGAGGCACCAGAGGCCCGTAGCTTCTGTTTATTCTGTAATGACTTTGCCTTTAAAGGCTTACTTAGGTTGTAACAACAAATGGCTTTTAAAGTGATTTTTTTTCCTTGTCAAGTGACCTTCCTGATATTTGTGTAATAGTCCAAGATAGCCATCTTACTTCGAAAAATCATCAAGAAAGAAAGACCTCTTAGAGTGGCAGGCACTCTTTTCAGGACGAAGCTCTTCATTGCCCATCATCTCCTCTCTAGGAGTGGAAACCACTGGAGTGTGAGGGTAGGAGAGCCTTCTGTGGGTCCCCCTGACCTGCTCCACTGGAGACCTCTCCTCCTAGGGCTGTGGTTCAAGTGTTAGTCCCAACTGTCTGTAGGTCATGTGTACTTCCAAGAATAAGAGCGTTTGACGAGCTCAGAGATGTTTAAAAACTAGAATTCAGGCATAGTGACTTCTCCAACAGCCTAATTCATGAACGATCCACTCGGGCCTTGACCCTACATTTTGACACATTAGGGCTCTTGCCTTTTTGGTAGCACTGCTTCTCAATGTGGGCCATTTCCCCCCATGCCCGCAGAGAGGCTCAGCTAGTGGCACTTCCTGTGGCCACAGAAGCAGATGGATTGAGAGTGTCTCAAACATGCTGGGCAGGAGTTATCTGTTTATTCTCCAGCGAAAGCTGTCGGCTCCGTTGCTGTCTCATCCCACTGGCCCGCCAGAAGTTCAGATTGTGAGTCCAGGCATTGGAGAAGCTTTGCTAAAGGGCTCCGAGCTTTCAATTTGTAGTTACAAAGCAGTACCTTTCTCTCTCATCACATGGGGAACACAAGATCAGGCAATGTGAAGGCCGAGCTGTGGGTGACACGGATATTAGCAATGCATTGTGTTCATGTTATTGAATTCAAAATAAGTTTCCTCTATGCCAAATCCCCCCTGACGAGTGCGTGCGTCCACCTCTTTGGCCCCGACATTCTCTCTCCTAAGACAAGTCTGACCTGCTATTCTGGCTTTTCTTAGGATGAATATAAATACTGTATTTGCCCACGGTGAACGGCCACAATTTATACGAACTTCATATTGTTTTGTTTTGTTTTTTTTAATGCCTCCTACCAAGGGTATAATTCTCATGTCCACTCAATTTGCAACACAATTTTGATAGAAGGAGTATCTGGCTGGCAGAATGATTGAATCATAAAGGAAGGTTTTTTTGTTTTTCAACTAAGCTATCCAAAGACAATTTTTATTTCTTTCAATGCATTCTTTTTTTAAAAGATTGTATTTGTTTATTTGAGAGAGAGACAGAGATAGTGACAGAGATAGCAAGAGCGAGAGCACAAGCAGGCAGGAGAGGGAGAAGCAGGCTCCCCGCTGAACAGGGAGCCTGACGTGGGGCTCAATCCCAGGATCCTGAGATCAGACCTGAGCCGAAGGCAGACGCTTAACTGACTGAGCCACCCAGGCGCCCCTCTTCCAATTCATTCTAAGAATAAGCCAGTCAAGTCAGGTTTGGGCAGAGCATTATATTTTTTGCAGTGGATTAAACCCAAGCAACTTCTCTCTTATAGACGTAAGGGTGTGTTGTATTGGTTTTATGTGTTGCATTGGTTTTGAAGAGAAGGCAGGACATTTGTTCTGGTAGGTGTCAAAAGAGATCTCCCCAGCAATAAGTGTAGTTCCTTGTGTCCTTCCCTTCCAGGAAGGTTGGTTGGTGTGTGGGGTGTGAGGATGGGAAATGGTCAGCCTCATCTCCTAATCTTTCCTCCCCCAGTATTATGAAAGTGAATGCATTGGGGCCATTCACACACGGCCTGCCTCTGCGGTTCTCTGCCTGGTGGAATGAGCATATCTGGATTGAATGGTTCGTGTTTTAGGTTAGGACCCCCTGGGCCATTGCACAAAAGTGGTGATGGCATTTTGTGTGGGGGAATCCATGGGCCAGGCAGACTGGGGAGCTAGAGGCCCTTTCCCCAAGTCCCCTGCTTTTCCCTTCCAAGTTTTTCACTTCAAGGCAAATAAGGACCCGCAGGAAGCCTGCTGAGAGTCAGCTGAGCCACAAACGGCTTCCCAGGTGCCCTGATTCCCTGTGGGACTTCTCTTTCTCCCCTACATGAGAACTGATGAGCATTCCCACTTTGTGGTCTTTCTCCTTGCCTTGGGCTCTTAGTTTTCTTTCCCGGGTGAGCTTGGTTCTGTTTCCTCCCCACCCTTTGCCTGCGCACAGGATGCGTGACGCCCGCGGACAGCCTCAGTGTGGAACGGACGGCAGCTTGCTTCCCCCTGTTTCTGGTGGTTGGCCTGAGGGTGGCTGTTTCTCACCTGGGTGCTTACTCTCACATGCTGTTGCCTCCAGTAAACACGAGGGGCTTGTGTTTGAGGTTTCTGAGGGGAGCCCAAAGCCCACAACAGTAGCCATTGGAACAGTCCCCCTGTCCAGCTGCATGGACTGCCTCATCTGCCCTTTGGGTGTGAACATTCTCTTTTGATTTCTCTTTTGCTGTCCTATTGCTTTTGTAGCTGTTGTTCGAAGCCCTAGTCCAGGGCCATGACAGTGATCGTACCATTGGCAGCAGTGGGGCCTTGGAGAGGCCACAGGAGGTCACTGCTGAGTGTGAGGCGGAGCCAGACTGGAAGGACCTCCAGGAGTGTGAAAAATACAGACACTAGGGTCTCAGAGGAAGAGAGAGTCAGTGGGAGCCCCAGAGGGAAGGGTCTGGGGGTCCAAGCAAGTGCTCGCTGCTTGGTATCTTTCTTTCTACAGAGGGGGTCAGAGAAACCATCCCGCTGGGGCCTACACCACACAGCTCACCTCTCACCTCACCCCCTAATAAATCTTAGTGTGGCCAGCAGGGTGGTCACGTTTAATGCTTAACCATGAGGTCAGTGGACCAGGTGGCACGGACATTCTGACCAAAGGGCCAGTATGCTGCAGGGCCAGGAGTGACTGAGGCATTTGTTTGCCTCTAGATACAATCGAGTAACCACTCTGGGAGCCAGGGGGCAGTTTGTGTGCCGATTCGGAGGTTTGCAGAGTAGAGAAAGCAAAATAAATAACGGAGAAGGAAATCCCCGTATTATTTGTTGGTCCTTATCCAAAGGGGCTGAATAGCTCCTTTCATCCAAAGTTAAGATTTTTCTTTTCTTTCCGTTACTCTAACCCAAGTCATAGAAGGGACAAAAGAGGTAGAGGCGCTTACAGGCCAAGTTTCTCTCTTCCTTGCAGACCTGAAAGGAAGCGGAGAGACGTCACACAAGTCACCAACACCACCATGTCCAGCCGAAGCAGGAACACCACAGTGGCAGACACCTATAATATCACAGACCCAGAAGAACTCGAGACAGAATACCCTTTCTTTGAGAGCAGAGTGGATAACAAGGAGAGAACTGTAATCTCGAACCTCCGGCCTTTTACTTTGTACCGCATTGACATCCACAGCTGTAACCACGAGGCTGAGAAGCTGGGCTGCAGCGCCTCCAACTTTGTTTTTGCAAGAACCATGCCTGCAGGTAGGGTGTGATCCAGCGAACCCCACTCCTGACTCACTCACAGCCCAGTGGAGAAGCTTGTGTTCTATGGACACAGAATCTGTCATCCAGGGCAATGACCCTTAGTTTCCATCCTGCTTATTAAAGAACGGGTGGTCATTTGTAGGCAGGATGGTAGACCAGCAGCCCAGGGAATGGAGTCCATTCATAATGACATCATTCCCAACCCAGTCTTCGCACAAAGTCCTACAAGAGCAGGGAGCGCCCTTCGGGGTCAACTCCCCTCCTCCCACTTGGTTCACATTGTACATTTCCATGGCCCTATTCCCCATTTGTACACACGTAAATTTGCCCGGTCCCTCCTGAGTCGTCAGGTTCGGTGGAATCCGTTAGCTGCCTTGACTCAGAGTGACTTTCACTCTCAAGGTCAACTGCTGGAGTAGCCTTTGGTCCTGCCTCTTGGGTCTTCACCTTCCCCTTTGGAAGTTAGAAGCTGCCTGTTACTCACACTGCCATCCATCCATCTTTAAGGATAGGTGAACTGCCCATCCTCTTTCCTGCCCGGGGTTAGCAGGTAGTAGAGAAGGAGCCCAGAAGTGGAGTCTAGGAGGGGACGCACAGCATATCTCAAGGCCGCTGTCAGCTTCCCTGGCCTCAGTTTCCCCACCCTTCTGGGAGAGACAGAAGCCAGCTCATTTCTCAGAGCCTTCCCCGGCTGTAACTTGCAGGGACTCTTGCTCACCACTTGGCTTGCTGCTTTAAGCAGAAGCAAGAGTGCAAGCACCCAGCCTCAGCTAGCAGCGGCTGGAGGAAGGGTGGACGCAGGCCCAGCTCGTGGGCCGTCCTTCATGCCCGCATCAGAGTTGCGTTTGCCGCGTGCAGATGCAGGCCTGGAGGGCTCCGTGTCGCCGCCTGGAGGCTTGCTGCCAGCCACCCCTGCTCTCGAGGCGCCTTTTCGATGCTGCTTGTGTTTGATGGCATCACATAGTTTCCTTTCTCGAGTGGGAGAAGCCAAATACCAGAAATAAGTTACTCAAGCTGCCGGGATTTTCCGACTATACTTGATATAGTGGGCTTTTTCTGGGGTGGGGTGAGGGGGCGCGGTCGCTGAGGGGAGGGAAGGTATCGTGGCATCTTGAGACTCACAGGTCATTACATTGCTTGGATTCCAAACCCTGTGCTATGTGTGAGCAGCCGGCTTTGGGGGAGTATATGTGGTCCCCGCCCTCAGCCCTGCACACACAGACTGGGGGAGGGCATGCTCAGAGTAGCCCACTCGGGGGGGGGGGCGGAGGCGGACCCGAATCCGACTTTATCGCTTGTTTAAATTGTTGCACAGAAGGAGCAGATGACATTCCTGGGCCGGTGACCTGGGAGTCGAGGCCTGAAAACTCCATCTTTCTAAAGTGGCCGGAACCTGAGAATCCCAATGGATTGATTCTAATGTATGAAATAAAATATGGATCACAGATCGAGGTAAGGCTGGCGCAGTGGTCCGCATCTGGGTGTGTCCCCATTCCAATTGATGGCATGTGCCCCAACATGTCACCTCCAGTTAGCTGAGGACTTAACCCCATAAAATGAGGAGCTAAGTCAGTGAGGACTTAAGTCCTTCTACTAGCTCCACATGTCTTTGAGGAGAGTACTCAGAGTATATGAGGAGGGGGGCTTGTTCTCCCCCTTAAGAAACTACTTTGTTACAGAAAATGATCGTTCAGCATACGCCAGAAAGAAATTTTTATTTTTCTGGAGCTCTTTTTGATTACCAAAAAAATAGATATATATTTGGTTAGAACTTGGGAGTGTTTACAGTAACTGGAAGACTGCCATTCAACACTTGGTTTCTTCCCTGTTACTGCAAATTGGGATCACTGTCAGGTGGGACGCGAGAGATGGGACAGCAAGAGGCACCCATTTCTCACATGCTTGTGGGGAATTGGCACTTGTGTTTTATTTCCCCCAGGATCAGCGGGAATGTGTATCGAGACAGGAGTACAGGAAGTATGGAGGTGCCAAGCTTAACCGGCTCAACCCCGGGAACTATACGGCCCGGATCCAGGCCACCTCTCTCTCTGGGAATGGGTCCTGGACGGATCCTGTGTTCTTCTACGTCCCAGCCAAAAGTAAGGCTTGGGGAAGGAGTAGCTAGAAGATGCAGAAGCGGGTTGGGTGGGGCTTGGGAAAGCCTGGGCTGTCGGGGCTCTCTCTAACTTTCTGATTTTCCGTTGGAACCGAGTTGGCCAGATTTCAGAAGGGTCACACTTGGGTCAGCACCTCATTTGGGAGCTCGAGCAGGGGGGAGCTGCTGCTTGGAGTTCCTACCTCATTTGATGGTCAGGGAGAGGGTCTGAGCCCCTTCTGAGGGTGGGGGGGGCGTCAGCAAGAGGCCTTTGCTCGCAACTTGTTTTATGTGTGAAGCATTTTACAAAGCGCGTAATTGACCATTCCGCCTCTTGTCCGATTCGGGCTGCTGGTTAGGGCTCGGATTTAGGGCTTAGAATCCTAACGGTGACCAAAATCTGGGGGCCGTCCGGTCCAGCCTGTTCCAAGGTAGGAGTCTTTGTAATGGCATCTCACACTGAGGCATTGTCCCCTTCACTGCCCTGTCGGTAAAAACACAGATGCACTTTTAAAGCACCAACACACATCAAATGCACACAGCGCTCGCTGTCTGGCACAGAGACTGGGCCATGTTGTGATTTTATACTCAAGCCGTTGACAAGACAGAATTTTTTTTTTTTATTCTTATGTTAATCCCCATACATTACATCATTAGTTCTAGATGAAGTGTTCCATGATTCATTGTTCGGGCACAACACCCAGTGCTCCATGCAGAACGTGCCCTCCTCAATACCCACCACCAGGCCAACCCATCCTCCCACCCCCCTCCCCTCTAGAACCCTCCGTTTG